AAGAAAATGTAATGCAAAATCTAATTTAAAAATAAATTGGTTTTGGACAGCACAGCAATGTTCTATTTTTGTTATTGGATGAAAGGACTAGTAGCTGGTTATTTTATTAGGAGATCTTTAATGTTTTGTTATTGATGTAATCTGATTTATTCCACATAAGGGAAAAATATATATTCTTCTGGAATTTTGTAGCGAATTTCAGGGCAATGTCACTTCCAACAAAACTGATTTAGCAATACCCATAGGTGATGGCATGAACTCTATCAAAGGCAAGGAAATTGCCTTTCAGACTCTTGGCAAGAATTTCATTTGGGATACTCTGAAAACATCAGAGCACTGAGTGTACTGAGTTGACTGCTAAAGGAAATACTCAGTAATTAACAGTTGGATCTCAAAAATTAAGAATTCACAGATCTTCAAGTCAAAAAATGAAGTTCAGTCTTTTTGAGGATTAACCCCATGACCACTCACTACTAAGAGCAGTGTTTGTCACATGTAACTAAGTCACCAAAAGATGATCAAATTAATGCAAAACCATAATTAAATAATTTTCTTTCTTTTAAAATCTTGTATTTAAACAAACTTCTAATAAACACCACAGAAAGTTAATTTAAGGGCTTTTAACAAAGAAAATCCCAAGTTTTGATAACAAAATTTTGGGGGGGTTTAGGAGGGTGGGTTTTTCTTTGTTTTGTTTTTAACTTCAGTGCTTGAAGTTCGAAGATCACATGCATATAATTTAAAAGTTGAACTAACAAAAAGGTAATGATAATTTTTATATCTTTTCCCTCACATGACATTAGACTTCCTTATATGACTATTGGCTCCACAGGTCAAGCTTTGTATCTTTCAGAGGGAAAATAATTTTGACCATTTCTAAAAAGTTGATCTATCCCATACAGCAAAATCCACTTTCCATAAGGACAGGCATTTATTTCACATACATATATAAAGCAATTTTAATATTATAAAAATACTAATTTATCTATCTATACAGCTATCTAATTTTGTTACAAGCAGGTTTCTGAGTTTTGGAAGGAACCACTATATAGGAAAGGACATCTGTATGAAAGCATTGTGGACACCTTGTGGTCATGAAAGTATGCTCTACAAATACAGCATTTCTGAAATGTCTGAAAAAGCCTTCACCACATCATAGCACAGAAACTTCTACTCTCAAGTTCTTTATATTACAAAATGAATAAGCTTTTCTAGGCAAGCCTTGTGAAGTTCTCAGTAGGCAATGCTCCTTCCTGTGGACTCTCAGAAAACAAAAACAGTGTCTGGAAAAAGTAGTCTTGAAATATATTTCTAACTACCAATTTTTAAGTTCAGGCCAATTGAAACATTGCTATGGATGATAAATACATTTTTAAAAAACACTAATGTGCCTTTTGTCACACTGTGCAATACAGAGGTGTTTTTAAATGTTTGCTTATTAAAAAGTTTTAGAATGCATTTTTTTTTTTTAATGCTGAGAGATAGAAAGAGCATCAAGCATTAAGACAATTAGGCAAAATGATGGATTTGAACACATGCTGCATTTTACCGTATGCGTAACTTCCATTAATGTCAGTGTGAGTTATGTGTGCACTGCTAAAATAATATGACCATAACAAAAATATTTCCTCCAGAACTAATATAGCAATATTTTTAGTAGACATTTGGAAAAAAAAAAAAATCACATAATTAGAAAGTAACATGCAAATGCAAATCCTTCTCTAAACTTAATGCTTTGGAATTCTTTAAAATAAAATCTTGTTTTTTCACATGTTGGCATCAAGTTAATAATAACTTGATGTTTATCATCTTCCATCAAACTACCTTTCATTTAATGGGTACTTATCTATTTTCCAGTTCAAAAAGACCAAAGAGATAATGAACAAGATTAAGCTGCTATCCATTTTTATTCTAAACTTCCTTAAATAATTGAATGTATATAAGAACAAGTAATGACAACTGAAGAAGTTATCTAAAACTGACCACTGATAGTAGCCAGTAAATGAAGATGGATCTTGCAATGTCAGCCAGATGGGCCCAGCATGCAGAGTTATGTTTGGAACTTGAACATAATATAAGCATAGGAAATCATCATGAATGTCCTTAAACACACAGTTTATGCCTATTTAAATGGAAGCTAGCAGCCAAAATCACTCAATATTAAATTTAAAAAATTATAAATAGAAGATATGGTCAATGCTGCCAATTAGTGCATCATCTGAAAATATCAGAGAGAAAACACATTATTTTAGTATATTAGTACAACACAAAATTATCACTATTCTGTCAGTGGATGTCTGTGTCTTTGTTAGCTTCTACAATTTTTGAGAACACCTTATTCACAAAAAATAAATGGAATGCCATATTTAGTATATTCTGTTGTAATGCAGCAGTTTTATAGTTTGTCATACACTTATTTCAGTGAGCAATTTCAAAAATTAAACTACTGAAATATCTGAAATTCATAAATAGCTGAATTATTTCTAAAAGACATTTACTAATGCATGTGTATCTATTATTTTACAGCTTTAGTGTATCTCATTAAATTAAATAATCTGAAATTAAGAATTACCTTTAATAGCAGTCATGCAGCCCATAGAGCTCAAAAAAAATAATATATGTTCACTTTTGCTTCTTTGATTTTGTACTAATGTTGTTAAAGAGGCAATAAAAATAAAAGTAAATATGATCATGTGGATTTCTATATGCTGTGACTTTATATATTTTGGTTTGTTCATTAATTCTTTTTCCTTTCTCCTAGACTAGCAAAACCATCCTAACATGTGATAGACATATTCATGTCTTTCCACCTCACTACAAACAATAGAAGTTCTGTCTGGTTCCATCTCCAATATGAACTCAGCCACGTAACATATTTCACAGAAACTAAAGTGAGGATGGAACTAAAAATAGTAATAGAATATATGTTTTTTTAATGAAAGTGAATTCTAATTCTGTTATTAGCTGAATCGTAGATTTCAGAGGGAGTAATTTGTATGAGTTAGAGAATTAGACTCACAGCAACGACACAGGGCTAGGTAGCTGGGAAAGCTACCTGGTAGAGGATTAGGTAACCCTTTGTGCCTAAGTAGGAAAAAGTATGCCTTATAATTAATTGTATTTTAGTATTACAGATTAGAAGGGGGTTGTTATTAACTCAGAATTTCAAAAAAAATTCAGGTCAGTTCAGGATTAAAAAATTAAAAATGTATATGAACAATTGCTTCTCTTGAAGACAGAGAAAAGGTAATGGCAGAAGAAGTCTACATACTTCACAGCTAATAAAGTAGTAATTAAGAAAGCAAACGCAAAAAAGAAAAATAAGAAATCTTTTACAAAATAAACCATACTAATGACTGCTCAAAAAAAAAAAAAAAAACCACAACACTCATTTAACTAGAAATTTTACTAATTTACCTTTTCACATCCTAATTTAAAATTTTTCTTCTAATTTTACTATTTTCCTCATAAAATTTATACTGTAAAAAACACACTATATGTTTATATCTCATTTCAAATTCAAAACTATTCCTAATTTGGACATTTGATACTGGATCTTTCACCACTAGTACCATCCACTCAGTCCTTTATCAATAAAATAGCTTTTATCAAAAGAAAAGTCAAAATATACTGGTTTTTGCCAACCTCACTTCCTATACTGAAGATACATGCTTTACACAGTTCTGGGAGGTTCTGTGTACCCAACCAAAAAAGTCACAGTAACAAAATTAAAGATAGTGCTTTTCTTTTCCCTATGATGCTCAATAATTGATAATTATCATAAAAAGAAACAACAAAATAATCTTACCGTTAGGATGAAAAATAAGCATGCACTCCGAGAAACAGACCAAAACACTATCAAGATAATATATGACTTCATGAAATACACTGGCACTGAGTATCTGAATTATTATAGGTGAATTAATATGTACATACAAAAGAACATCAAAAAAAATTTTTAATTATATCTATTATAGAATATAACATCACATACTACTCTAATTCACAAGTGCTCCCATTTTTCTGTATAGATACAGACCTCATTAAAGCCAAAAGCAGAAGCTCTTTTGATTTCACTGGAAACATTCATGCTTGCATTACAGTATTTCTGCACCTCTATTACATGGCAGCCATTCTTAAAACCTACTTTTATAAAACTCTAGTAAGCATATGTCACCATTTCCACTTTGTCTTATTTACAACACAGTATTAAAACAATTTTTTTCTGATTATTTACCTTCCTTTAAAATGTAAGGATATCTACAACAACATAACTGAAATTATATATGGCTTAAATGTTTTGGGATTTTTTCCTCCCTCAATAAAACACTTTCAAAATTACAACTGTGAATTTCTTTGTTGAATGTTAACTACACACTTACCATCCTAGCCAAGTCGTAACAGGTTCATGCTTTTTTTCCAATTTTAAAGATCATGTCAGAGCTTTAACATCCCATAATTGCAGATATTTACCTTTACTGTGGGTAGGAGGTTAGATTTAAATTATACAACTATCTTTTCCATTATGTACACACATACATAGTGATAATGTGTATGCAAATCGGTTTTTTGTTTTTTGGAGCTTGGGGCTTTTTTTAACCAATTCAATGTAGTAAACTTCGCACAATCCACATAAAGTTAATAAACTCCTTTAATTTGCCACCAACAGAAACTCCAATGTAGAATTCCCACTGCAAGATGGGACTTTAGACCCTCAATTTCTCATAGAAGTTATACTATGCTGATACTTCATTTGAATGTAACAAAGATAGCTTTCAAAAAATTCTTCTCATGTCAATTGTTCAGTACTTCCAAAATGAAGACTTTTGCATTTCCATATTTTGAAAGGAATTTAACAGTCTTACAACTACTAGAAGTCCTTAGAATCAGACTCAAATATACACATAGAAAAAAAAAAAAAATAGAATAAAACCCACCTCTTTTGGCAAGAAAGTGCTAATTTTATTTTTTCTAGAAATTGGAGAAATCAATGTACTTACTTCATTTCTAGAATTTCTTCAAGCTGTTTTCTTCGCTCTATTCTCAAGTTAGCTAGATGTGCTTCTTTTTCAGCCAAAGACTGCTGTGTTGAAGCAAGACGGGCCTTGGTAGAATCTAATTCTTGTCTAGTCTTTTCCAGTGCATTCATCAGCTCTTCTACCTAAGAGAGAGAACTGTTTAAGCTCCATATTCTTTACAATAAGTAAATCTTGCATCTATATAAATACAGGAGAAAACAAACAAACAAACAAACAAAAAAAGAAAAACAAAACACAAAAGGAATTTTTTTAAGTAAATGGCTGTTCAAATCTATTCCTACCTTAGCTGTTTTAAAAACTAACAAAACGTAGTCTTTAATTACCAAAAAATCTTAGTGTTTCCATCAATCTATCGAGTAATAAACAACATTTATACAAAACAGAACTAGCATAGATCACCAGAAACCTATTAACCTCGGCCACTGATACATACAGACACAATTTGTAAATATTTTCTGCACCATTTGTACTATTTAAATGCAGGGTGGTGGCAACTGACCATAATAATAATTTCAGAAATTTTAGATGCAGATATAGATATATATTTTAATATAAAACTGGGCATGACAATCCATGTATTTTTCATCAAAAAATGCACACCCTTCTGTGAGGCACAGGTTGCTCAGGGAAGATGTAGACTCTCCAATCCTTGGGTATTTTCAGAACTTGACTGAATGAAGCCTGGAGAATCTGATCCAACTTCGAAGTTAGCCCTGCTTTGAGCAGGGTTTTAGACTGCATTGTCTCTAATGGTGCCTACTAACCTGAATTATTCTATAATTCTGAACTTTAAATGTCTGTTGTTACTGCTCTAATAGCAAGTGACTTATTTCCTCATGACAGCTGTGAGAATATCTGAAGTATGAAATGTAGGAAAGTTAGGGTGATCCCACTCTTTCTTTAGCATTGGTAAATGTCAGCTGGATGTAGGATAAATTGCTTATTGCAGGAATTCAGAAAACCTTGATCTTTTTAGAAAACTAAATTCAGAAGTAAAAAAGCGTATGTCATGGTTTATCACATCATTTAAAGAACACACTAAAGAATGGAGACCACATACGACACCTGTCTGGCAGCAGAAAATTTACTTGTGGGGTGAATCATTATCTTCACAGAACCAGAGGACCACAAATCCTCTGGCAACAAGGACACCAGTATTATTTCCCCCTATTCAAATTATACAGTTTACATTAAGAGCTGCAAGTAAGCAACAAATTTAATTTGTTTTTATGAGATATAATTATTTAAATAATGAATGTCCTATTTCCTGTATTTTCTTTCTCACCTCCTTTGTATAAATATTAACATTTTATAAATTAGCGAACACTTCAGGAAGAAAATCTAAATAAAATGAAATGGGAGATAGGATATATTTCGGTTGTTCATGTTATGCAAGTCATTGAAAAGTGTTCACTTTGCTGGTGTATTGCAAAGTGTGACAATATTCCACTGTGGTCATATAATCAGTGTGGCTACAGAGAAAATGTTTTCTCCCAAGTTCATGCTTAACTGTTGTTTGTTGTTATCTAAATCCTACTAACATGCAATCAGTGTTTATAAGCCACATATTTTTGTTTCAATTTGAGCACATGTTCCCTCCTATTTAACAGGTTCAATAAAGCAAAATTAATAATACAGTCTTCATCAAATCATAATGAAGACTCACATCGTGTTTGAAAATGATACGATGATTAATTACCCCTTCTACACCAGCTGCATCTGCATCTTTATAAACATTCTAATAAGATCAGTGGAATACTAGAACACGTCTGATACCCTTCAGTGTGTAAGAAGTTATATTTCATGAATGCAGAATCAGAATCACCAATAGAATTTAAAACTACTGATGTTCAACCTTCCACTCAGAAAATAAAACTATATTCCAATACAAATAAAACAGCAAGGAATGCAAATTGTGCAGTAGAGTCTGTGCAGGTGCAAAATTCTACTAAAACAAACCATGAAGAAAAATGAAGGCTGTAGATATCTTTGTAAAGTGACTATCTAGTGAACTTTCATAGTAGAAGCAGCAAAGAGAAAATATACTCGAGGGAAATAAAAAATTAAAAAGCTGGATTTGCACTTAGATTTCAGAGGAGAAAACAAAACAAAACAAAAACAGAAGGAGACAGACATCATATTTCTTTAAAAATATACTCAATTTCTCATATAACACCAGATACTTAATTTTCTGTTTTAGTACAAGAAGACAAACCCATGCTGTCTTGAACAAGGACAAGCCTCCACTGCTAAACATAATATGATACTTCTACTTGTTTTCTTGGGTTATTTCTTAGGCTCATCCTTGTGGTTTTAAAAAATTGTATAGTTTCTGCTGAGCCTCTGGCCTGTTAGTTAATTCCAGGCAACATACATCATTGGAAACAGTAGTAAGGATTCAAGACTGTGAAATCATTCTTTCATACAGAATCTTGCTTTGAGACAGTATCTTTAAACACCAAGTCACTCCACACTTGCAGATTTGTTTGGCAGACGAGAACACAGAAAGGCAGAATAGCAGCACTTCTATATCTTTAGTATCATTGCAGTTCTTTTCCTACAGTTTCAGCTGAATTTAGTACTCAACCTGTTGACTGTCTGAATGCTCACCTAAGTTCTGATATATCACATCAGTTACAATTTTAAAACATTTAAGGGAATTAATGACTTGTGGAAAACAAAGCTGTGGATTTGTTAATGTATATTAATAACATACTCTTATATTACCAGACAAAAGAGATCAAAGTTAAAAAGAGAGGGAAAAAACCTTTAAAAATTTAAATATGAAATCTTTTTTCAAACCACAAATCATTAACACATGTAGACTTGAAAGTTATGTTTTCATTAACACTTTCAACACAATATTTGCCAGCTAGTTCTTCCTTCACTTTTGAATATGACCCAAGTTCAGAGTTGCATATTTTCCTAGTTAACTGTCCCACCAACACTTACAGCAGAATTCAACTGGCTGGCATGTACATAAGAAACTGATGGGTTTCTTTTTTAACGAACTACTATCAAATGTAAATGTGTGAATGCTGAAGTTGCACACACAATCATCTTACCATGTTTATTATATAGCTATAGCAAATATATTACAACATAAAATTAGCTTTAAATACTGAAGGCAGTATTATCTAGATCTAGGGGGGAAAAAAGCATTGTAAAACATAAACCAAATTCTTATTGGAATTAAAATGACAGGTGAAAAAATTAAGGGTTAATGTTGTAAGAAATGGAAATAAATCCAGTACTACTAATGACAAATTTTAGCTTTCTGACCTATGGTAAATACTTCTGCTGCATTTAGGGGCACTTCATCAAGAGAATAATGTGTGTCCAGAAGTTCTTTCCTTTCCTGTCCAAAGCACTGGTATGGTCCTGCCTTCCACTTTCTTTTTAGCTTTTCCGCCCTTCAGATATTGATCTGAGTGATATTAAAGTGTCAGTTCAGTAATGTCCAAGTAACACATTTACATACTTTTCTTATCATTGTACAAAAGATCGAGAAAAAGTTTGTATTCATGACCGTATTTGTTACCTGTAGTATCTCACCCAGACATTTTCCTCCCAAACTGAAGCACCTATTCTACCTTAATTATCACATATGCATCCTTAAGACCATTATTTACACAGAAATACAGAAAAGTCTCTCAAAGTAATTGTTGTTGGTCAGTAACACATTCTAAAATCCAAGCAGCATTTGAAATGCCTTCACGTGCTGAAGCTAGGGCAGCAGTGCCCCAGTGCAAGAGATGCGGCCGTTGCTGGCCGGCTCTCGCAGCACCCCAGCCTTGCAGCGGCACTTCTCGGGAAGGCTCAAGTTAACAGTTCCCAACTCCCCCCCGGCTGCTGAGGGGCAGCTCCTGACCCAGCCTCACAAGACAGTTAGTGCCTGAAAGCCTGCTCATACTTTCCCCACTACATCTCTTAGTCTAACTGCTTCTATTCACAGATTTCGCAATTTTAGATATCAGCTAAAGAATAATAATTTATGTTTTGAAAGAGTTTACTGTAAGAACCTCACTGAATACAAAGTTCTTTCCTAGTAAGTACTCCACGCCCTGAACACATTATTAACTGGGGTTTCCTCCCCTTTGCAAGACGACGACCTCATTTTATCCTTTGCATTTTCTAATAAAAGCCATTATTATTTTTCACACTTCCAGAAAGCTTAACTGACCACAGCACTTCAAGGATTTTATTAAAATCAGTACTAGAATTAAGTTTACATTTCAGAAAGGCAGTAAACCAGCAAAGTAAATTATTATGATTCTTCCTTAGTTTTGAGTCTTTTTTAAATGAACACTTTCTACTTCTTCTGCAGCTTCACATTTTTAAGTCCTATCAGCAGTGTTTCACACCAAGATAAGAAAAGAAAAATAAATTAATGTAACTGAAGTATACGTTCACGTTACCAGATTCTGCAAATTAAAGAAGGTTAGAGTTCAAATGAATGACAGTTTATTAAAAATGCCCTGGAGCATTCTTAATTCCAGATTGGATTTGGCTCAGCACAACTCATGCTAACATAATACTGTTCCAGTTTGTGGGAAGAAGGAGGGGGAGGGACAATTTCATGTTTTCTCAATTCAAGTATAATACATTTCTGCAAGATGATGAAAAGCTGGCAACTTTCCAGAAATCAAGGTTAGTATTAGTAGTATTACTATCTTCAAAGGGTTAGCACATCATTTTAGCAATGATATTGGTGAAAAACACAAGAGTACTGGATTTCCCTCACTGACTTTTTCAAGTATCAGTAGCTATACAAAAACTCCATACCTACTTTAATTTAAAACCTAAACTTATGCTAGTACACACAGATCATTTATTAATTTTACAAAGTAAAATAAAATAATCCTACTATTCAGTTACAGATTCTTCATTTTTCTTTAATACAAGAATATTACAGTTATAGATAATAAAAAAGAAAAAGAAAAAAAAAAAAAAAAAAGAAGAAAAGGCTTAACAAACTATTACATTCATCCAGTAAAGGATTTTGAGAGCTGCATTTTTATAAGTCAGTCAGTGTAAAAATCCATCCAATTGTTTTCAAAGGTGCTTTCTTTTTTTCCATTTGCTAAAGAAATGTGGGGGGGTTTTCCCCTTTTTTTTTGCC